AACAGAAAAAAAAGAAACGCTTTTAAAATTTCCCCCCTAAAAACCCGCAAAAAAAAAAAAAAAAAAAAAAAAAAAGAGAGATAAAAAATCAATGTGTCTCTCCTTTCAGATGTGCAACTTTATACTTTTATCTTTTGGGCTTACCCTGCTGATGGAAAACGTGTCATGTGCTTGCACTTGGAGAGAAGCTTGACTGCATTAGATGTAATTGTATTAACCTCTCAGTACAGCACACACCACCTGCTGGAGATTTAAGATATGACACAGGATGAAAAATACACTTTTTTTTTTACAAACACATTTTTCATGTACGTCTTGAGGATTGCTCTTTGTGCTGCAAAAAAAAAATATTGCATTTGATTTCTGACTATGTTAAGCAAACTTAGCTGGGTTTTCATTTCTTCGGCCACAATGCTTATCTGTCTGAATGTAGGCTGTCTGAATGTCAACAGCAGCATTTGGAGTTTATCTATGATTTGCAGAGGGCTGCAATCGGTGGACAAACATCTTACACAGTACTCTGTGGAATGGGAGGAACTTGTAGTGTGTTAGGTGCTGTTCAACACAACACAAATAAACAAGCAACTTGATATTATGATTCTTTTGGCAGTCGAATGGGTGAGCAAGAGTTCTGTTTATAGTCACAACATAAGTCCAAAATGTTGAAGATATCACTGTGGCATAAACTGCACCACTAAATTTCATATACAGACGTCGTTTTTATTATGACAAAAGATCCCTATATTTGTCTAGTTGTGTAATTTACCTAACAACTAGAGTTTAAATTGTGGTTTTATGCAAATACGTTTGATAACCTTGAAAGGCTGCTGTCGACATCGCGTTACTAAAGGCTTTAGATATACAGTATGTTTCAATTTTATTATTCATTGGTCTCTCACGGGGTCACCTCCACATATGCGGAGAATGAAAGGCAGCAGTCTCAGCTGGCCGTGAGCAGAAGATTTCAGCCAAGCAGATCTGTGAAAAAGCGATTTTCTGCTTGACATTAGATAAAAATACAGACATGAGGCTGGAACTACTGGACACTAGAGTGCAGCAGAGGAACTAAAAAACAATGGCAGATAGGCTTAAAAAATGTGAATATAAAAGCATTTGTATTGTTTTCAAGAGTTGGGATAACTGTGTTGGTCTGAAAGTATTGAGAGTAAAAAGTATATTTAGGACGAATTTCAAACATGGTGGATTGTCCTGCAAACAGTCCTGTGCAGACAGTGCCCACTGAATTATTTAGACCAGGGGTTCTTAACCAAGTATGACCTGTGAATACCAGGTTTTCCAGGTACCACCATCTTGAAAAGCTTTTTGAAACAGTATCAAACAACAAGACTCTGACTTCTTAGTTTCTTGTGGTAGATGATAAATGCAAACCGAAAAAATGGAAAGAAAATCTTATTTATTGCTCAATGGAAAAAATATGTTTAATCCTGTGGTATAATTTCACAAATATGCTGATGAAAAAACAAACAAAAAAAATAGTCCTCAGAAGCTTACATTACAGATTGGAGAGTCAAGTGTTCTCACCAAATTCAAAATTCAATATGGTGGCCTTCCATAATAAAGATGAAATTAGATTAAATTATTTTTTGGCGAACAGCATCTTGTTAAATCTTTCATTTATATTATGCTATCTACTTCAGTGAGTGTGCTGCACTGTCAGAAAGTGCAAATGTGTTTAATTTGCATGTGTTGATATAAGTGGCTATTCTTTTCAGGAATTTCCTTTCATGGTTTTTACAAAGTCAATACACTTTGCATGCAGTATATTGACTTAGCTTTTCCACTTAAAGTAGAAAAGTAAACTCTATGTGACTTTTGATGCTTACTAGCTAGTTAAAGTAAAACCAAGCTTCATTTGAGAAACATGAAAGTCAGAGAAAGAGTTACTAATGGTAGAGTCAGGGATTTAAATAATGGCTTGTCGGAGAATGGGTATGTATTAGCCTATTTTCAACTATCTTATGGACTGCAACAGAATGTGTTGTGATAGCAACATACTTGCCATGAGTGTATTAATGAATTTGAACATACACGTTACTTCTGTCAGTCATTTCCTTCCATAGTTTCATAGTCAATACTTTGTTTTAATAGTCTGTTTGTTTTTAACATGTACTTGGTTAATTGAGTCTGAAGCATCTTGATGGATCTGAATGATTTTATAAATAAAGACTAAAAAAACTCGATGTTAAGTAGCTACTTGTAGCTTATAGCCAAATAAAAATAATGATTTATATCCAGCAGAATACGTTAAAACGACAAAATGGAGCATTTCTATGGTCACACTACTTCTGAATAAATTGAGTTTTACTGTAAACCAGGAAAAGGTTAAATACTTACAAGAATAAACCTCAGAAACTAAGTGGGAGCTGGAGTCGTTCAAACTACTAGTCAACCTGTGGCACGCACCTGTCGTTGTTGTGACTCTACAACTCTCGCGAGATTTCCGGATTGCGCAGTGGAGAAGACTATTCACTTCGGCCGCCATCACCGCATACAAGCTAAAACATTAGCCGAAACATTCTGAGGAAAGCGACTGACAATAGTGTAACGAACGCAGATACTGACCGCATTCCCATAAGGGAGGCCATTAAGCGTCCTTTTTTCTGTCCGGGTGCAGAAAGCAGACTAGCAGCTGCCTTTCATGTAGTCTTTAAGTCAACTTAGTAACGAAGTCGCTTTAAGTAATCATGTCCAACCTCAAAGGCGGCACCAAGAAGGACACCAAGATGAGGATACGAGCCTTTCCTGTGAGTATTATTAGACGGACACTGCTTTTAAAACTAGGGCGTTGGAAATGAAAGATCTCTGTGTTTGTAGCTGCCAGCTAACTAGCATCTCAAACGAAAAAATAGACGTCATTGTCAGGGGGAAACTACAACTGCCTGAACAAATCATCTGAGGCACAGAGGCTTTAATTATTTTGGTTCAGGAGCATTATTTTCGTTATCGGTTTGAAAATATTACCGTTTATTTGTCACGAGCTAATGCTAGCATGTGTGAGGAAACTTCAAATATAAGCTCGTTAGTAGCAGGCCTGTTAGCTGGCATGACGTTTGCCAAGTTTCTGTCAGTCTGTCAACCAGTATCATTACGTTATAATAACCGCTCACGCTTCCGAGGACTGTGTGCATAAGTGTTTAACTCATGTGAGTGAATTCATTTGAGACCTAGTGGTTCTTTATTGAGAATGAAACATGAATGTGCCTGTCTAACCTAAGTTCTGAGGTTGAGATAAAAATTAGAACTGTGTAGATAAAAAATGAACGTATGTCAAAATAAACGATTTAATCTGAACGAGTCTTAAAACAAATTTTCAATGATGCATGGTCCCGGTCCCTGTCCCTGTATGGAGCCTAAAAGTTGATACAGGGATTTCGTTTGAAAGGTTGTATTTCTGGGATAATTTATGTCCCCCAATTTCCATTGAAACCTTTAAAATAAATAAAAAAAGTTGGGATCTAAAATCACATAAATTGTTTCTGGATTTTTCAACGTGTTCAGCAAATAATCTCTGAGTGATCCACCCTTTCAGTGATAAATGTTTGTTTATTGTATGTGACCTAATTTTACCCAAAAGTTATGCTTCATTGTTGAGAATATTATATTACTCTTTTAGATTATAAAGTAGTCTCCCTAGAAACAAGCAGAGAAACAGTTTGCAGAAATTATATTTTATTATTCCTTAAAAATCAAGGGATAAGTTATTTTCTATATCCTTGTTGTTGTTGTTTATGTGTTATAAAGATTTTTTTTGTAGTACCAGTGGCCTTGACAATGATCAAACAGGGAATGGGCAAAAAGGAAAAGGGGGAAGATAAGCTCCTGAGGTCAGGAATTGAACCCAGGATGGTGTTAGGAACTATCACTTCTTAGTGAGGTCTGTTCTACCTCTGCACCATCTGGGCTAATTAAGCCGGTCTCTGCATACCAAATCAGTTTGTTTGTTTGTATGAATTTCTGTCAATACGAAACAAAACAACTCAGCATAAGATGTCAGTTTTGATCTACATGCTAGGACTTTGCTTTGTAGTGTAACATGAAGAATAAGGTGTCATAGCTAAGTTTAACTCAATGGGGCATACTTATATTTTTTTTATATAATACTGCAGGAATAGTTGACATGCTTCTGGCATGAAAGGATTTCTTGCTTTGCACAGAAATGCACCTTGAAATGGATGAGAAAAGGAGACAAAAAACAGGAGACAACAGTTACAGTTGAAGTGTACACTGGCGTTCTGTATAAGAATAATTGCTCATTTAATTACACCAACTTGACTTAGAGAAGACAATTAGACAAGGAAGTGCATGTAATTACAATACATCTAAAGCAACACTAGGACATATGTTTAATGTAACGTATTTGAAAATTGTTTCATCTTTTGAAATTGTATTGAAAGAATAAACTCTCATCTTGCTAAGCTCATACGATTACCAATATAGATCAGTTGACGTTTCCAAACCACAACTTTTCATTATTTTTTGTGTCCCGCAGATGACGATGGATGAGAAGTATGTAAATAACATCTGGGACCTTCTGAAAAATGCCATCCAGGAGATTCAGAGGAAGAACAACAGCGGGCTGAGCTTTGAGGAGCTTTACAGGAACGCCTACACCATGGTGCTCCACAAGCACGGCGAGAAGCTCTACACAGGCCTAAGGGAAGTGGTCACAGAGCACCTCATCAACAAAGTAAGATGCTGCTTTTCTCTTCAACAAAGTCATCAAGATTCTAAAAATGTAATCTGCACTGGTCCCACCATAGATAAATTGGCTTGACGTGACTTGGTTTGGTTGTTTGTGTTGTTTTTAGGTACGGGAAGATGTTCTAAACTCCTTAAACAATAACTTTCTGCAAACACTGAACCAGGCTTGGAATGACCATCAAACTGCCATGGTTATGATCAGAGACATCCTCATGTACATGGTAGGAACTCTGTTCTGAAATTATTTGTGGACTAAAACAATGAGGCTTTGTTTGCATGCTTGTTTAATCGGAAAACTGGCAAGACCATTTACATTACCTTTGCCAACAGCGAGAACAAAATGTGTCTGTGTGTGGTTGTGCTCGAGTGATTGATCCCTTGAGATTAGCTCAAGTGTAGGCTAAAACAATAGCCCAGTCAGTATGGAGATCACAGCGCTCTACTGGGGTCCTTTTGCTTCACACTTTTCTGGGTTTTTGACTGGCAGCGGGCCGACTGTTGTTTAACTTGATATCAAAAATAATTTCTTGCTCATAATTCCAAACCTGCCTGAAGATAAACATAAATCAATTCTCTGAAAGATTACATCATCTTCAAGGAAACGATACACACCTTGATTGACTTGTTTAGAGGATTGTTTAAGACCAGACTCACTGTGATCAGTCTTGGTTTCCTTAAAAAACTCCTATGTAAGAGATTATCAATGAAACCAAAACTGCTATGTAAAACACTCATTAAAATCATAAAGTTTGGTATTTATTGTCTGAAGCCTGACAACTAAGCTCTTACCATGTATTTTTGGTCAGGTTTCTTGGGCAAATATATTGGTATTCTTAAAATAAGACAAAACTAACTTACAAGTAACTTTTCAATAAGACATACAGTAGGGCTGTAGTGCTACAATAATCTCACGATACACGATATTCTGCTCACGATACGATATATATTGCGATATTCAGCAAACGATACAATTCAATATACTTTTGCGATTTTCTGAAAGATTTTAGAGGGACAGTGTGTTTTTGGTGACATTTTGAGACTGTTATAGAGTTGGATTGAATTAATTTAACAGAAAACTGATTAAAAGCACCAACCTGGCTCTGGTTGGACATGGACACAGACTTAAAGTCGACAGCTGGACAAAATGAATTAAAGAAGTGGTGATGTTCCTTTTAATTGAAACAGTACAAACTGTAGCTTACATGCATTTGTAAAGTAAATACAGTCCACCAAGTACCCTGCTCTGAATAGTTTGATACCTTTTTAACCTTGACACTTAACATCTGAAGGAATCACTAAACCTGGTGACCTAGTCACTCTCCCGGCGAAGCAAGCAGTGAGTGAGCAAGGTGACATGGATGTTACGATACTTGCGGATGAATATCGATTTTTTTCTAGGAAGGAAAATATCGATATATATCACAAAATCGATATTATTACACAGCCATAATATTCAGACTTGTTTTAAGTAAATAATTTCTTATTATTGATGGCGATGTACTTGTTCCTTTGGCAGAAAAGACATTTTTCCCACATTATAAGTTTATTTATCTGAGTAAATGTTTTGTTTCTTTATTTAGACCGTGCGTCTTTGATCTGTTTTGTAAAACCAACTCACTTTTGCTTTTATTTCTCTGTTGATGTCAAAAGATAAATTGAAACTACTTGTTTGTCTTTCACCAAATGTATGTCTTACCAATACTTGAGCTTAAATATTACGTATACATGATTTTCCTTCTCGGATTACATACAGTCTAATTTTCACATGAAATTGAAATGCAGCTTAAATATTAGTGATATGATGGTAATCTGCAGCTTATGACCTGAGATCATGTGGATTTTTTCACAGTGCCAAGAGTCTGATTCAAAGCATCTTGTAAACCTTGGTAAATGTTTCAAAGACCAGTTGGTTACGATTAGCCCTATTTTTTCCTCTTCACCAATAAACAGTGTCCTCATGGTGGGATAACTATCTCATACACTTAAAAATATACTTCAAATATACGCATTTATAGTCCGTTCTAATAAAATATAAAAAAAAATCAATGTGCAGAGAGTAAATAAATGACAAATGAAATATAGTTTTCTACCAAATATTGCATTGAAGCAGCCTCTTGTTGTTCACGTGGATATTACGATGATTGCAATTTGATACATTGTGCAGGTCAATTCAAATTGATAGTCTAACTATTAACATGCTTTTGGTTTCTTTGAAGGGAAAATCTACTGGGAAAAAATATTCTTCATCCAGAAGAAAAAATGTTATAGAAGAATGAATAATGTTCTGTTATTCTCTAGACTAAACAAAGCATTTATCAGAAATACTGTTGAGGATTACATTTTGAGTCTCATGTTGAGATAATTGTACTGGCTGAAACATTGCTGGTAGCTGCATGTGACAGTTTGTATCATGCTGTCATTTCATTTTTAACAAGTGATTAACACTTAAAGTTGGCAGTCAAGGAAGTAAAGTAGATTTCCAACTAGATGTCAACAAAGAACACGAAGCATTAGGCTTGCTTAATAAACTTCCTCCAACATTTTTCCCTGCTGCAATTTTCAGTTTCTTCAAAACCAAAAAGACATCCGCTCATCAGGAACTCAAACAGGAAAATGATAATGACTCATTTCAGTTGTATTAAGACAGGTAGTTCCTCTGGTCTTGCTTTACAATATGGCAAACTGTAATTGGAGTTTAGCCAGTGCTGAAACATAACAGGTTTCAAGATTAAAGATCAAAACGCTACTTGCTTAACAGTCTCTCAAAGGTAAACTAAAGAAAATAATAATATTTCATTAATTGCTTCTTTAAGCTATTAAAGATTTGGAACATTCATATACTTGTTTCTGATCAAATAAACCCTGAACTACAGAAAATGTTACACATTCATGTGTACACAGCAGTATATTTGTATTTTAGGTAATTTAGGTCATTTTAGGCAATTTTGTTTGCATTTATTTTGTTTGTTTTGGTGCAAAGATTATGAAAAAGTAAGTGCTGCAGCTGACTAAAACACCAGAACTTCCTTGCATCTCATACACACACACACACACACACACACACACACACACACACACACACACACACAAAGTGTTAACTAAAATATAAAAGCATTAAAAAAATACATCAGTACAAAATCCTACTCATTCTCTAAGATTCCTCACATACTAGGTTAAGGGGAAGAAAACAACACTCAAGCTTGCATAATAAAATAATCAGACTTTCCACAAGCAAAATAAATGAGCTGAATGTTTTGGGACTAAACATTAAAGGTCATGTGGTCTGGTTGGACCAGATTAACCCTGCCTCAAAGATAGAAGAAGAAGAAAGGCGATAGATGAATAGTGCCTGATATACGGGAATCTATGAGCTACTGACTGACGAGGACTCTGTTTTCTTTTCTTTTATCAATTGTCATATTCTGAGATGACAACGCTAGGGTTCATTGAGCTCCAATAATTTATTTTTAAAAGAATACAGTGGGGAATATGTGCTACAATACAAGCTAAAACGACACATTAAAATTGAGCAAAGTCATTGTCTCTCTTTGTTTTCTAACTCTCTTTTAGGATAGGGTTTATGTTCAGCAAAACAACGTGGAGAATGTATACAACCTCGGCCTAATCATATTCAGGGACCAGGTGGTACGCTACGGCTGCATTCGGGACCACCTACGACAGACGCTGCTGGACATGATTGCGCGGGAAAGAAAGGGGGAAGTCGTAGACAGGTAAGCTCCTGTGTTCCTTCACCGGACGCACAGCCAGGTGTCTCGAATGAATCAGCAAGTCTGATGTAACTCGAGGTTTTTGTTTGTTTCCTTCCTGCCATCATCTGCAGGGGCGCCATCAGAAACGCCTGCCAGATGCTGATGATTCTCGGCCTGGACGGCAGATCTGTGTACGAGGAGGACTTTGAATGCCCCTTCTTAGACATGTCAGCTGAATTCTTCCAGGTGAGTTTGCTCTTGGTGCCTTTGTGCACTCGCTTGACGTGTCTGCAGTAAAACAGCCCCATTAATTTTTAAACTTTTCAGATGGAGAGCCAAAAGTTCCTGGCAGAAAACAGTGCCAGCGTCTACATAAAGAAGGTCGAGGCGAGGATCAATGAAGAGATTGAGCGAGTTATGCACTGCTTAGACAAGTCAACCGAAGAGCCAATCGTTAAGGTAGTGGAGAGGGAGCTTATTTCAAAACATATGAAAACTATTGTGGAGATGGAGAATTCTGGCTTGGTGCACATGCTCAAGAATGGAAAGACGGAAGGTAAATAAGTTGTTTTGTCGGTTTTGTTTTGATTGAATTCTTGATATCCTTTGTTTAATTATTGTAATTTTTTTGCTTCATGTTTCGCTCTCAGATCTGGCTTGCATGTACAAGCTATTCAGTCGAGTACCAAATGGCCTGAAAACAATGTGCGAGTGCATGAGCTCGTACCTGAGGGAACAGGGCAAAGCTCTGGTGTCGGAAGAGGGAGAGGGCAAGAACCCTGTTGATTACATTCAGGTACGCTGACAGAACTGTGTCACAAAAACTACTTAGAAATTTAAAGACTTCACCTCAACATTATAAGAGAAACACGCTGTATTAGAGATGTCATTTTGTGTTTATCGCTTTCTCCACAGGGTCTGCTAGACTTGAAAACGCGATTTGATCATTTCCTCCTCGAGTCTTTCAGCAGTGACAGACTCTTTAAGCAAACCATCGCTGGAGACTTTGAGTATTTTCTTAACCTCAACTCGCGCTCACCAGAGTACCTGTCACTGTTCATAGACGATAAGCTCAAGAAGGGAGTAAAAGGGGTATGTGACTTTACAATAAAAACTCATTTTTGTTTTTTTGTTTTTTTTTCTGAGTTATGCCAGTATTTACATTTTGTTTGATCTTTATTTTGATCAGCTGACAGAACAGGAGGTGGAGTCTATTCTCGACAAGGCCATGGTGTTGTTCAGGTTTATGCAGGAGAAGGACGTTTTTGAAAGATACTACAAGCAGCATCTGGGCCGTCGGCTTCTCAGCAACAAGAGTGTCTCAGATGACTCGGAGAAGAACATGATCTCTAAGCTGAAGGTGAAAGATCTGTGAGGTGTACAGGTCATGCTCAGTAAACCTGGTTTATTTTAGTAATTCCATTCAGAAATTAGAAACTCGAGGTGATACATTTCAGGTATTTCGTTGTTTTTTGTTTTGTAATTTTGATGACTATGGCTAACGACTCAAGGAAATTCTCATTAATGATGCTCGTATATCAAAAAATGACAAACACTCAGGAGGAAGGTTTTCCTAAACGTAAGCTTGTAATAAACATTTGTCGTATTTGTGGTTGAGTTAGCCATCTTTACTTTTTTGTATTTGATAAGCCAATATTATGTCATGTTATGTTAAAAATCCATATTTGTAATGGCTGGGAATATTTCGATAACCAGAGAAACAGAATGTTCTTTTTTTTATTCGCTCTAAGCCATAATAATCAGAATTAAAACAAAGGACTCTTAAAACGTATCGCTCTGTTTTATGATTATTGCGTAGGTTTTAAACCTTTTTGAATTGATTTATCAAAATGAACTTTTCGATCATTTTCTAATATGCTAATGTGCACTTGTATCTGTATCTTTTAGGATCATATTCATGCTCTACATCAAATCCACCTCCACCTTTTTTTATTTTATTTCCTCTACATGTTTGTTTGCAGTCGTAGCTCATTGTTCTCCCCGTCTCTCCCTTGCAGACAGAATGTGGCTGTCAGTTCACCTCTAAACTGGAAGGAATGTTCAGAGACATGAGCATCTCAAACAGTACTATGGATGAGTTCAGGCAATACATCCAGAGCATATCGGTAAGACATTAAAAACACAACGCCCACACTTAAAAGAATGCGTTTTTATTCAAAACCAGTGTGGGAAATTCTTGCACGGTCACTAGGCTATGTGGTTCTCATTTTATTACATTAAAAAAATAAATAAAAATATGAATCCAAGATGAAATAAATACACCTAAAGATCATTGTTAAGGAATCTGAGAGGTTTTATGCATCAATTTCAGGCTTCTTTAAGTGGTGTAGACCTAACAGTAAGGGTCCTTACCACGGGTTACTGGCCTACACAGTCTGCAACACCCAAGTGCACCATCCCTCCTGCTCCTAGAGATGCATATGAAGTCTTCAGAAGGTAAGATATTCAGCAAGGTGAGAATGGTATTACTGCGCAGCTTCTAATGAGAACATTGCCTGCCTGTATCGACCAGGTTTTACCTTGCTAAGCACAGTGGAAGGCAGCTCACACTACAACATCACATGGGTGGAGCAGATCTAAATGCAACCTTTTATGGAGCTATCAAAAAGGTACCAGCTTTGGTCCAACTATTGAAATCCTAAGCAATTTTAAGAGTCGAGTCGTGGATCCTGGATTTAGATTCATGTTTTTATTTCAGTTGTCATCTTTTCCTGTTTCCTCTGCAGGAGGATGGTTCGGAGGTTGGTGTCGGTGGAGCACAGGTAACAGGTTCTAACACCCGAAAGCACATCTTGCAGGTCTCCACCTTCCAGATGACCATCCTCATGCTCTTCAACAACAGGGAAAAGTGCACTTTTGAGGTGAGAATGCTGCGCTCCATCTTTTCTGTTTCTAGACACAAATTAGGCATAACATTATGACCACCTGTCTCGGATAGAGAAGAGCTTCGTTTTACAGGAGCGAGTCGGGGTCAAGATGTGCTCCCTGGCTTATCTTTGTGCTTTGTGCTGTGCACAACAAATGACAGCCCATTGTTTTCTTTCACTTTCTGTCAAAGCCGTTTGACCTTGTTATGGATGTGAACAATAATTGCTCTTCAATTTTATCCAACAGAGGCCAGCATTCACTAGTTGTGAGCATGAAAATATTTTTAGTGCACGTTTCACTGAATTGCCGGGTTTTTTTTCTTTCTGTCTCTACTTTTGTGTTCTGATCACTGCTTATATATAAACAATGTAATCTGGTAATACAATAATTACAAAGGCCAAATAGTTATCTGCCTCTCTCTCTGCTTTCAAGTCTTCAACTATAATGGTTGATTAACTTCCTGCTACATACACAAAAGCCTATTTCTGTGTTTGGATCTGTTAGATATTAACAATTTTGACATGAATGAATGTTTGCAATCTCATCGAAATCTACGTGTTCCTGAATAGGACAAAGCTTTAGTCCACACGTCTTTTCTTAATTATTAATCGTCACCTTTGTCCTCTTCTGCAGGAGATCCAGCAGGAGACAGACATCCCAGAGAGAGAGCTGGTGCGGGCGTTGCAGTCATTAGCCTGTGGAAAACCTACACAAAGAGTTCTAACAAAAGAGCCAAAGTCTAAAGAGATTGAAAATGGCCATGTGTTTACAGTCAATGATCAGTTTACCTCCAAGCTGCACAGAGTCAAAATCCAGACAGGTGGGTTGAATGGCTGCATGTCTATTTTTGTTTTCCTTTTCTTTTTTGTGAACTGGGTTCTTGCTGATACAATTTGCACAAGTTCCTCATTTATGCCATTTTGTTTCCCATTTTAACCTATTTTTATAGTCTTCCTTCCCCATTTAGCTCAGAATATAAACACTCCAAAAGTTGTTTGATTTCTTACACAAGATCTGTTTAACAAATTGTAAATGGGGTTGGCATTTTTCCATTTCTTTTTGAGTTACCGTTTTTTTTTTTAGTTTCTTCTGTTAACCTTTTGTCTTTACCTGGCACCTACCTTACTAGTTGCTGCCAAACAAGGAGAATCGGATCCTGAAAGAAAGGAGACACGACAGAAAGTCGACGACGACAGGAAGCATGAGATCGAGGCAGCCATCGTCCGCATCATGAAGTCGAGGAAGAAGATGCAGCACAACGTCCTGGTAGCAGAGGTGAGGGCCACACAGATTTTTTATTTTTTCCTCTTTTGACCTGGAAGCCACCGGTATTGTTGTTCCATTTGAAATGCTATGTAATAATACTTGTGATGTAGGGTTCTTTGAAGGTGGAGCACTCATTATTTGACCTTCATCAGTACATCGTGAGGACAAAGAGAGAGGAGTCCTTGTCTTACTGTAGCTCAAAACAGTCAGAGATTAGCCTGGCTAATCTAATAAAACTCCTGCTTCTATCTTATCAATGACCTTTACTATTCAGCATCTCCACAATGTCATTAAAAATACAATTTTAATGAGCAGTCTTTAATCTTGAGCCAAACATTTTTGCCTCTTTGCGTCTTCAGGTGACCCAGCAGCTCCGAGCACGGTTCCTTCCCAGTCCTGTGGTAATCAAAAAGCGCATTGAAGGACTGATAGAAAGAGAATACTTGGCACGGACGCCAGAGGATCGCAAAGTGTACACCTACGTGGCGTAGGAGATGAATGCTGGGGAGTAAAGATTGGAATGTTTTCTGTGGACTGTTGTTGCGTATGGACTGTAAGTTTCTTTTTACAGACATCGACTGGAACCCTGATTCATCAACTTGTGCAAAAAAAAAAAAAAAACAAACAAAAAAAACCACAATAAACCCTCGTACATGGGACGTAAAAACTTGGAATAGACAAAAAAAGAAAATCCATCAGATGTTCTAGATGACTCTTGAAATCGGGCTCGGTCTTCCTATTCCCACTGAGTTTTTACATGGATGGATCCAGCTTCAAGATTTTCACTGTTTTACCCTGGTAGAGTTCATAACTTGCAAAGAATCCCGTGGGAAAATGTGAATGCACCACATTATTATTTTTTTTGTGTTTCAGTACTGTATAAAGCTAATAAAATTATTAAAAACAGCAGAAGTGGATTGTTACAAAATAAAAATTAGGATTCTTTGTTATGGAATTGCTTTGCTCATCTTCTATATTAGGCTCTATTCAGATATAAAATGCTGTTTTACTCTTGAACTTAGAAATAATTTAGGTATTTTGGACATATAATTATTTTTTTCCGTTTATGCATTTGATAACAGAAGTGACTTTAAAATTAACAACTGAAGTGTGGAAATAATGAAATTCAGTAAGCAGTTGCCAAATTAATTTGAGTAAAATTAAGCAGCCTACTCCTTTTTACCGTCATCTGATGGCTGTAGCATTCAGTGTATTTGATTTTCCTCTTTAAATGAACCCTTTTCTGATCAGTTATCGTATGTCTCTTAAATTTTTATTTTTATTCCACCTTGGAATATATGAAACAAGTCCCAGTTATCACTCTTTGTAGTATCTATATTTAAACAGCAATTCTGTTGCTACAAAACTAAACATATTTACCTGAAAAGTTTCCAATATAAATGGTTTCTGGATGAATGGAACCCAGTGCCACACCACTCTTTCTCCTGCCGCCGTCCCGACCAATCAAAATGCGGCAAATGTTCTGAATTTTGAAGAGAGAAATGAAGCGCAGTCCTGCTCAAACTATATAAAATATGCTTCCTGTTATCAGCATCATAGTTGGGGGCAGTAGGGAAGTTTTTCAAGGGGAAACTGTTCGGTAACTTTTAGGTTTTTTTTGTCCGGTTCTTAGGGAAATTGGGAATTAAAGTGTTTTGATTTTTGTCTACAATGTGAAAGTATTAACATGATTTTGATGTATTTTGCTCTTCTTGTAGTTTTTCTCAGTTCAGAAAAATATAAACATTGTCATAAAGTCAAGCAGAGTCATGCTTAAACTGAGTTTTAATCGAAAAAAGTTCAACCAGTGCCCTGAGGGGTGTCTTCAGTTTCCTAAAACAAGTTGCTAGTTGGTCGGCTGCTGTCCCATATTTTGTCAACAGAAACTGTATTAGGACATTACTTCAAGTCATGGGTATACGTTTTAATGATATGAATGCCTACCTAATTCAACATTATACACCACTCTGTAGTGAGGTGACCAGAGTTCGATTTTATTTCAGGGGAAAACCTAGAGCAATATTTTACTGCAACATTTAAAACATAAATGTAATACGTTGTTCTTTCAATCTGCGACAATTTTACTTTCTGAGTCACCAACGCATTTCATAACACAAGTCAGACAAACTGAGGTACGGAAGCGTCCGTCTGGCCTCTGAGATCCGCATCATGTCGTGACTGAACAGCTCTGGCCAGAGTCTCCAGCTGAGTTATGAAACTGTGAATCTCTTCAGCAGAGCTGTGAGTCCAAGCCAGGGGCAGGTGCATGGGAACGGGCTTACGATCTGAAACAAAAACTGCCAGTCAGAGGACTCGATGGCGAATGGCGTCTGAGCTCGTCGAAGAGAGCTGAAGTAAAAACTGACCTGTTTTTCTAATTTGACAAAGACTACCTTACTTTGTTGTTCTCACCTTGGAAAAACCGGCCGCTGCGTTTTCTAGCAGCAGCTCTGGACAGAGCTAACCACACAACCGTGTCAGCTCCTTGGTCCACACTGCGCAACCTGTCCCCCATCATCTGATGGAACTGAGGCATTGCTGCAGAAACAGCTGGAAACAAAAGAAAAAAAAAACCATTTCTGCACATATTCTGCTTTTAACGACATCACCTAATGAATCGTACACTTTGTTAAATGTGTATGATCCATCAAAAAAAAAAAAAAAAAAACCCCTTTTCAGATATTTGTCCACCCTATTGAGACTGTACCTGGTGTGTCAACCCAGCCCGGATGCATGACAGAAAAGTGAATGACAGGGTTGGCTTTGGCCCAGTGTTCTGTTAGCACCACCTGCTGTCTCTAAAAAGAAACAGCACATTGTCACGTTCCTTCAAATTTCTCTAGTATAACCTTAGCAAAAATACAACCGCCGTGAAAAAAGTATTAAACACCTAAAGGTGGTTCGCATTTTTCTAGCAGACTATTTGTTGGATTTTTATGTGATAAAACACAAAATTCTGCATAATTGTGAGGTGGAAAGAAAATGCATCGTTTATTTTACTTATTCTTTACAAATAGTAATCTAAAAAATGTGTTGTGCATTAATATTTAGCTCCCATTTCTTTTGACACCCTTAAATAAAATCTGCAACCAACTACTGTCACTTACATGGTCCACCTGTGCCTAATATATTCTCAGTATAACTTTTAGTGTTTTTCTCTGAAGAGGAACAGTCGACAAAAGCTTCCACCAGGACGCCTTAGGAACACATCAGACATGTCCGTCATAAAAATCATTGGCAAATCAAAGGAGTTCAGCTAAACTGTAAATGTACAAATTAATAGCTATCCTCCCTCCTAAACTTACAGTGTAGGCAATGAAGACTTAACTCACAGAAGCAGCCTAGAGGCTCTTATGGAAAAGTGAAAGAAGGAAAGCTTTGTTTTTTTTTTTTCTTATTTATTTGATAATGTCTTACGAAGTCACAGTTAGCCATGGATCTGTAAGGGACAAAATAATCATTAGGAGGAAGCTGCCCTGGTCAAAAAATTACATCTTTTGACTGACATGTGGAATGTGTAGCAGAAAGCTAAGAGAGCTTCGGGCTTCATCATTTGTGTCATCATCCTATGACACAAAACACATCTAAATCATTTTATTCACCAGGTATAGGGGAGCTAGTCAGAGCTGAAAAGACGATGGATGAAAACAGCTAAATACTGGAAGGAAATATGTTAGATGCCGGAAAGGACTTGAGTCTGGGAACTCGAAGCAACAACCTGAAACATACTTTGATAGCAACGGTGCACTTGTACAGATCACAGAACATTTTAATGTGTTTGAAAAGCCCAAAGTCCAGGAATATATTCATGGACACAGCCAAAACAACACCACCACCACAAGGAAATCTGCATTTTCCCTTCCTTGTGATACTCAGTGTTAGCTTGTCACATAAAATCACAATAAAATAGAGGCCATTAACTGTAATGTGGAAAAGTTCAACAGCTGTGAATACCCTCTTTGTTATATATAAATAATATCCCTGTCTTACCTTGTTTTGTGCATATACCATGACGCCATCAAAGTGGCCCTTCTCTGACTGCAGATCATCAGCTCTGAGACTCTGGACCAGCATGCCCCCTGAGGACACGGTGATCTAACCGCCGAGAGAGCGAACAGCAACAGCAGTGTGGTTAGACAACGGCCACTAAAGCACAGACAAAAGTGGCATTATGTAGTCCACATGACCCAGATGAAGCCTCTGTTTGTGAGTATTTATGCATGAAGTCGTACCACTCGTGGGTCCCGGCTCTTCTGCAGAAGTGGTATGAGAGACTGAGTGAGAATATACACCCCTAAAGTAACGGAAGTAAAGTTAGCAGGAACAGTGAAGTGCTGCAGGAAATCACGCTCCGACTGCTGGAATCAGCGCTCACCCATGGTGTTGGTGGCAAAGTTCATCTCCAGGCCCTCTGCATTCAGCTCTCTCTTGTGAATCATACAGCCTGCATTGTTTATCTACCACGTTATGTAAAAACCATCACATCAAACACACAAAGCAAAACTTTTAAATTGTAAAACAAGAAAAGATTTGCCATTATTCTGTATGTGGCTAAGAATAAAGATGACGACTGATGCCTACCAAGACATTCAGCGACGGATGCTCTTTCTTGAAGGCCTCAGCAAACTCCCACACTTTGCGTGTCTGGGACATGTCAACGACATGGATGTACACCTCCTACAACAACCAGAGTGAGTTCCCCCCCTAGTTATAGAATTCATCTTTAATTTTGGCAATTTGATGTTCAAATTTTAGTCACTCACCGCGTTCCCAAACTCAGAAACAATCTCTGTCCTGGCTTCTTCTGCTCTGTCTTTGTTCCTGCACACCATGTGGACTGTTCCTCCTGGGCAATAAAATACATTTTTACAGCTTAGATCCCGATGAGAGTGCACAAACATGACCATATGACTATAGTGTGACACAGAGTGCAACTCTTTAGCTGATACCTTTCTTGGCTATAGCCATGGCTGTTGCTTTGCCAATACCACTGTTTGCTCCAGTGATCAAGAAAGATCGCCCCACTACAGAAACGTCAAGATCCTTCGTCTCAAAGTCTTTGGAAGCGGCTGCGTATCCCTTCCTGAAAAAAAAAAATAATAAATTAAATAAACATACTAGTCAGCTATTGTGTGAGAGGAATATTGATTACAATGAAATAAAGGTGAAAGATTCAATCATGTATTCAGCTGTAGAGCTCTCAGCACAGCTGAAAAGAAGCCCAGCTGCACAGAATCGCTTGACTGACAAATTATAAAGAAATCCAGTAGGATATGAGGAGTTTTATAAATCTACATGAATTAAGTAAAGAAAATGTTACAATAATTCAGTCCGAAATAAAAAAAAAAAAGAAACTCAAAAGAGGTATATTTTTTTATTTAAAAAAATTAAGTTCATGGCCCTGGATGAATTATTTACTATTAAACATGGGGTACTATTTTCACATAGTGTCAGATTGGTTTTGATAGCTTTTTCTGTCCTAGATAAATGAAATCTAATATCTAGGTCTTGAACTTAAACGTATTTAATGATCTGAAATATGTAAGTATGACAGGATAGAAGAAAGGTAAAATAAACAGTTTCAAAAACAGAAGTCAGATCTAAAATCACTGTGACATCAGCATTACCAAACCCTACAGCTAATATAACAACTAATTTAAAAACTTTTACAGACTCTTTCTGTGCTGTGGTTGGATTTTAAAACCAGATGGTAACTTTTGAAAATGGGAATCAAGATATGGCTGCATTTGTTCATAAACAACCTTCTCCAAGATTGACGCCGTTTTAGCTTCAGTAGAGATGTGTCATCCTCAAGACACACCAGCTGTCAATAGATCCATTGTGATTGAACATAAAGACCAGTTTGTGTTGTGATTTGTGCCACACAGTGATCAGACCTTTGATTTGACCGTGTCAGGCAACAATTACAACTACAGAACAAGCTATGACACAAAACACATCTAAATACCCAAACAAAACGTTATAATTTGAACCAACACCCAGTCCATTAGTGACAAAGCATCTTTTTTTTTTTTAATATCCAGATCTCAGATCAGCATCAAAGTGATATTGTAGCTACTAACCTTGTGTATTGTTGGATCCCGTTCAAAAACCAGATGGCGTTTCGGTAAATAGACATGATATGAAGTGGACAACAGCTCCCAGTGCAATGGACCAACCAGTTCCCCTGTTTCTTTCTCAACCACTGGGACGGATTGGCATCACATGAAACGGACGCAGGAGCAATATGCTGCTCCCTACCGATCATCAGTTGCAACAGCATCGAAGCGGACCAGCTGACAGTCATTTGCTAAACTTTTATCAGTTCATTCATTTACATTTCACGCAGCGAGCTCCTGGGTGCGCTGATCCCTGTAACACAGGCCTGACAGTGACCAATCCAGATGCTTGTAAGTTGTGATGACGCGCCGTTCCTACGGAGGCCAGCAGGGCGGGGTTAAACTGGATTTTTCTCACTGGTTGCACTTCGCGGAGGGTAGATATGTTTTCAGCCTGGCCGTCTGACCCTTTGTGAGGGCTAAAGTGCATATTTTCTTGTTTTTGATAGCGTTCGTGTCTCTTGGCCCAGCGTCAAAAATGGTAAGTACTTTAAAAGCTAGTTTGTGCGCATGGCTGTAGCTGTAAAGTGGCCGCAGCCCGCTGGGCTATTCACCTGTCTCACCTGACAACAGGTGGCTAACACTGGAGCGCTGCCTAGTCACTTCCTCGAACACCGTAGCTGGTTTGTTTTGTCGGGCTTCCAAATAATTTACGCTATTTGCTTATATTGAGGCAAATTTACGAGTTTCAGTCCAATTTTGAGAACGGTGAAAAGAAAGGTGTTAGTTTGCTCCCACCGGTGGATTCCTTAAAACAGGTTTCGTCGCTTTTCTGTAGGTGTCCTGCCCTTATTGGCAGTTTAATGCTTTACATATTAATTTGCCTGCTGTGAACAGGGACACTCACGAAACCTGTAGTTTTTCCTGCTTAATGTTAAACTATGCGGTTGTACATTAAGAAAAAAATGCTGCTAATTTTCCTTCTGTTTTATTAATTTCATTTCCTGACAAGTTTCAAATACTGGAAATACTTGTATGTCCGCTTTTTGAGGTCCTTTTGAATTCTGTCATTGTTCTTTTTTCTCTTTTCTCTATTGTCTGCATGTGTTGCTTTGTGGGGTGGAAAGGGTATTAAGAACAAGGTTAAGTTTTTTATTTATTTTTTTTTTTTTTTTCATGGGGCTCTATACAGATTTGGACCCCATCTACAGTCAAGCCACAAGGGCATCAATAATATCTGTTTTGAATGCTTGGTTATTTGTTTGCATATTGTTGATTATCAACCCTAAATTTCTTTGTCTACCATTAAGTAAACAGTTAAATTAATTTATGTGTTTTGATTGACTCTCAAAATGTTGACTTCATATTATTTATTATATATTCCACTAATGATTTATTAAGCTAATCTATCAGCTCATTTCAATTTTGTTTCTCTCTAAACTTTTATTGCATGCCAGAAAAAACAAAGTGCAAAAAACAAAGATTTATATACATAAATCAGGCTGACACTGTCATAGTTTCATGGTTTCTTTATTCTTGCGTCATTAAATTATTCATCATTAAAATTATTACTCAGATTGACAGCTGACGTTACAAGGAGCCCACAGAAAACTCAACTCTAACCCCCGCTGACTGCAGCCAGGGGGCTTCTCTACACAACTGTCACTTTTACTGAAACATTCATGAAGCTGAGAACGACAAATTTGTTAAAATTATGTGTTGGCTCTAAATATTTTTCTCAAGAAATCATTACAGTCGAAACCATCAGTTATGATGCCTAGTTGCAGCGTCCCTTACGTAAGTTGCTATTAATAAATTGCCAAGGTTATTTGTCTGACGACTCAATTTGTCTGGGAGTCGTGTTCAGAAAACATGTTTCAATTTAGAGCCAGAAAAGCCTCAAATCATGACCTTACACCCGCGAATGGACGTAAGGACATTTAGTGATGTATAAATCTGCACAAACAGCAGAATTCATTAATAAGTCATCTCCAATACATTCCTCAGAAAAGGTACAATTTGTACATTTCTGAAGATCTTTAAAAATACTTTCATAATTGTCATTTTCCTATTTATTTTTAATAAATGTAAATACGGATGACACCTGTAATATATGTGAGATGTTGGCTCCTTTTTGAAGGCTGGGCTTGGGACCCAGTGCAGGAGCTTGGCTTGGTTTGCTTCTGTCACGGTGCCTGTTCAGTGCCTTTATTAAAACACAAATGGGTTCAAGTTTCTTTATTGAAAACATACATTTCCCAAATGTGTAAATATGTACCGTTTCAGGTGTAAAAGCATGGCTTGCAAAAAAAAAAAACAGAGTTAAGCAAATTTTTCTATGCAACAAGATGGTCTCACAGTTGATAGATGTTACGTAGTCAAGTATGCAAATTTATAAAGACGGTTAAATCCAGAGGTTAGTCAAAAAATTGGGAGGAAAAAGAAAATAATTTAGCAAAGAAAAAATAAAATTACACATGCATACACACAGTCACATGCATATCTCATGTTTTTATACATATCAAAGGTGTGAGGTGAAGTACATCTTGAGGGTTTAACTAATTGACCTTCTATTTGGTATAAAGCATAGTTAAAACTAAAGATTTCTTCTTTAAATGCACATTTATTTTTCATTGTTTTAATGGCTTTTTAGAAGATTTAAGAGCAGCCTTTGCCAAATGTTCTCATTCGTGCCGAGGAAACTCTCCTGTTAATACAGTGAAATGTGTCCACTGCATAAAGAGAATTGGTACAACTATTATGTGTAATTTTGAGAGTTTTTTTTTTATATATGTATAAATATATATATATATATATATATATATATAAATGAAACATGTTAAAGCATTCCTCTTGTCTACTGATTACAGTGAATGAATAACTTATCATGGCTTTATTAGGTTTCACTTTTGGTGATTCAGACATAACATCCCCCCCTCCCCCCCGCTGACTGTCTGTGTTGTCAGATGCGTTTCCTGCTGCTCTTCAGTCGCCAAGGGCGCCTGCGTCTGCAGAAGTGGTACACGGCTATATCAGAGCGCGAGAAGAAGAAGATCATAAGGGAGATGACAACCATGGTCTTAGCAAGGCAACCGCGCACCTGCAACTTCCTTCAGTGGAAAGACCTGAAGATTGTTTATAAGAGGCGAGTCACTCTCTCACATGTCTGCTCAAGCAGCTCAAATTAGTGGAGGGGTTTTAGTAGATGGATCATTAGAGTTTCTCTCTGATAGTGAAGCTTTGTGTTGTGTAATATGCGTTTGTCCATCAGCACCTGACAAATGCCTTTGTTCTCTTCGTAGGTATGCAAGCTTATATTTCTGTTTGGGCGTGGAGCATGAGGAGAATGAGCTTTTAGCCCTGGAGATTATTCACCGCTATGTAGAGCTGCTGGACAAATACTTTGGCAATGTACGTCACTCTATTTTTTTTTTTTTTTTCAAAGTTTTCTTTAAGCTGTTTATACAGGGCCAGCCACAATTATTGGCATCACTGTTGTGACCACTTTTGCCAACAGACAATTTCATAAAGTTTAATCAAGCAGAGAGAACAATCTGGACGTTCTGGGTTCTCTCTTGCCTTTCAGCTCACCTGGAGATTTTTTTACCATCCCCCTCACTGCACTTATTTTACTTCATTTATTATAAGTTAAAAGAAAGCGGAGCCAATAATTGTGCTATTAAAAACAATTGTTTGAGAATGTGGATTCCCCCCCCCCCCCCTCTAAACCCAAAATGTATTTAGTTTAAATATTGGAATTTCCAGAATTCTAGATGAAAGTATGAGTTTATCTAAAAGCTAATAGATAATGTGGCAGACACTGCATTTACTTTTGTATGTTTTACTTTGATGTAGTATAAAAAGCAATAA